ACAGAGCTGGGAATTGAACACACATCTGTGGGTCTCTGGAGCCTCATCCTTCCCACTACATTAGTCCCTTCTACTGAATAAGTGTCCCCAGTGGAGAAACACCCACAGTGGCAGAACCATGCATTCCGTTTCCTGCATGGGATGATCATGCACAAGCGAGCACCACACACACCTGTCCCTTGGGATCCTACCACTAGCGCAAATACAAAGTTCTTCAAAGCCAGGCAAAGTTTGGATTTAGCCCTTTTTTGTACCAGGAATTGAACTCAGGACCTCAAGCTTGCCAGATAGGTACTGTGCTCCTGAGCTACATCCCCAACCCAGTTAACCATTTGTAAAAACTAAGGATAAAGCCTGAACTTCATTTCCATGTCTTCCGGTGAAATGGACGCTAGAAGATGATGCGTTTGTCCCAGGGTTTGGTATCCCTCTGGGTTGTATAACATACCTAGGGCTGTGATCACACCAAGCTGGTCACCAGCACAAGTAAAAGTAATGGGACTCTGACTGTGCTGGAAAATTCAGGAGAGGCAGAAGGAGGTGGGTACCGAAACCCAGAGATTTTCAAGGGGAAACACTGGACGTCCCCACTGTTTATTGGTAAAAAACCATATATGGGCATAGATGACAGGAGTCTAAAGACTAGAAGCAGTAAAGCAACTGTATGATCCTAGCCATCTGGTTAACCCAATGTACCCTCAATATTTTACATCTGAAGTAAATATAGCCTCCTTCCCAAAAAAGCGCTAAGCGTATTGAAGAATGGTAGCAAGGCAGGGATTTGCATGTAATGCCTGCAAATGTGATTATGGAAATCTGCATCCCATCTTTGAATTTCCTGGTAAAGATGCAAAGTATTTTCTCTTTATTGTATCAGTTGGCTTTTTGCTTTGTATCAAACTCCCAAAATTTACTGGTTTAAAACAACAACCATTATATTTGCTTGCATTTTGTATGTCGACCACATGATTCTTCTAGACTGGGCGGATTCTACTGATAGCAATCAGCTGGTGGCTTACTTGGAACCTGATGGTCTAGGGTAGCCTCACTCTCATGTTTGATAACTGGTGAACTGGCTGTTTGAAGACAGCTCTGGCAGGAACTGTTTGCCTGTGCTCTATGTGGTTTTTCAAACTCTAGTAAAGGAACTTGGGCATCTTTGCATGGTGTTCTCAGTGTTCCAAAAGTAACAGAGAAAGACAAGCCCCACACGTAAGTACATTTTAAGCCTCTGCTTATAACACATGTGCTATCCTTCTGTTGGCCAAAACAAATCCCTTGCACACACTGAGAGTCGGTGGGGGAGGAGACGAGGTGAGGCTATGGATGCAGAAAAGTGCCAGCATATTAGAGGCTATTACTGCAGCAAATCCCATCATGCTATAGAAGTCTGAAGTTTAACACAACAAGTAGCAATTGTTTTCATCTGATGCCCAATCCAAGGGCAACACTGAACTACATTATGATTAAATCCCTGTACGAAAAAAAGGCAATATCACCTAAAGCCATATGAAAGTAGTATAGCTGTTCTGGTAGCTGTTCTGTTCTGGTGGCCTCACCTGCCAGCCTCTGAGATGGGAAATCCCTTAAGAAGCTACAAGAATAAAGTTGCTGAAGGGCCAGGTATGCACCAGCTGCACAAGAAAAGCCTGCCCCTCCTATGTGCAAACGCAGAATCACCTAGAAGCAGGTCTGCAATAAAGCAAGGGACCCCACCTAGAGGTAGTAATCAGAGGCTGGTGATTTCCCAGGCCTAGGGTGAGAGGCCCAAAGACAGGCTGTCAGCCAGAGCTGCAGAGGGAGGGATGTGGATGAAGATACATGAATGTGGAGTGCTTATATACCCAGAGGAACAAGAAAATGTATAAAGAAACTTCATCTGAATGGTGGTACACACTTGTAATCCCAGCACTTGGGAGGCTGAGGCAGGAGATCATCACAAGTTCAAGGTCAGCCTGCACTACAAAGTGAGACCCTTTCTTAAAAAAAAAACAAAGCAAAACAAAAAGAACTCCATCTTAAACCCTGTTACCCGGGAGGAAGAAAGCAATAACAAATGAACAGAAAAGAAAACTAGCAATGACCATTTTCTCTGGAAAGCCTCCTGTGTGCTGGGATTATACTTGGCTTGAGTTTGGTGGTAACAACATCCTGGGGTAATTAGCCCAAACTTCCAGATGAGGAAACAGATTCGGGAAGGTCAAGTAATTGGCCTACGTCACTGAGCTTGTGATATGTCTGGTTTGAACCCACTGCACCTGGCTGCCAACACAGTCCCAGAAGACATGGCATCGTGAAGCTGTAGGTCTGCTTCCAACATGACCCTTGTCACAGGAGAACTTGGAAAGACCCTAGAGGCCATCTTCCAGGCAGGAACTCCGGGAGGTGTTCATGGAAAGGATAATGAGAATGTTCATGGAGGGACTCAGCCTCCAGAGCAGGTGGCAAAGGAAACCATGAAGAAACGCCCAGCATGTTTGTTATTGGCAATGTAGAGATGCTAAACAAATTTGCTTTGAACCTTCTCCATCATCTATACTCCTCTGTCTACTTACTCACCTCTCAAATTAGAAGGATCACTGTCTAAAGGGGCCATTGATGGTATAGGTCCTGTTGCGAATGATAGAGGTGCTGAGCCATTTTGAGGCCTGTAGCATTTGTAGGAGCATAAGCTATGGAGGTGAGAGTGTCTGAGAAGTAAACTTGTTCTGTGCCAATTGACAGGCTGGGGGTGGAGTCATTGGGTGGGTGTATGACTCTAGAGACCCAGAGATCTCATTTTGCATCTTGGCACCACCACGAAAGCTTGTGTCCCTGGTTTTCCTTTTCTTTTCTTTTCTTTTCTTTTTATTTTTTGTATGAGAATTGAACTCTGGGCCTGGATCTTGCCAGCCACACACAAAGCCACTGAGCTACATCCTGGGCCCCTCCTCTGATTTTCAGTGCTCTGCTCTGCCGCCCTGCTGAGTGTAAGCCAGGCAGAGTCAGGGGCCCACGTGGCAGCTGATTGCACTCTGCTCAATGAGTGGGAATCCAAGGAAATGGATGACCTGACCAGTTAAGAGCCCCCAGCTCCTGCTTGTGGGGCTTCTCCTGCCCCAGGATAGGAAGGCAGCCATGAAAATACATTAGCATTCCACTTAAGTGTGTTTTGAAAACACTGTGGCCAGGGTTTGGAAGTGACCATTGTCCCATCTATGTTTATCCTCTGTGATGTTGGCCAAGCAGAAAAGTCTGTTCTGGGAAGAGAACAGAGAGACTTTGATATAACTTAGGTTGTTTTCTTTTGGTTTGCTGCTGAACCATCAGGCAAGGAACCCATTGGGCTGGATTGGAGGCCGGAGCCACCAGGTTAGACATTTTTTATCTGGTATTGGGGTTTGTTAGTGTCAAGAGAGTACTGCCTATTACTACAGGAGGAAACTGCTCAGATGAGCCATGTTCTATGACTGTGGCCTTGGCCTCCTTGAGGTTCATCTCAGAAGCCCAGGTCTTACCCCTTTACCAAGCATAGATTCTGCTGAGCTGCCTATAAGATCTGTGTGTATCCTTTCCATTGCCCTCAAGAGGTGGTTAAAATAAGCTAAAATTTCAGAAACAAAGTATTTTGGGCAGGGTCCCAAGTACATGCAGTCCCTAGCAGGATCAGCCAGGTTAGAATCTCTTTTTCTTTTTATTTTATTTTTTTGTCAGAAATGCCAGACATCTTGGGAGGTCAGTGAGTCTTCTCTTGGGCCTGGTTCAGGGAGTGTCTCCAGCAGGAAATGCAGATCAGTCTATCACACGCTGGTACATGGACCCTTGGTTAGAGGCAGTGACAGAAGTAGTTCACATTTAAAGGTATAAAACTGAGATCTGTTGGTTTGCAAGAGATGCCAGTTGCTGGCCATGAGATACAAGTATATTTCCATCAATCTTTTACCAAATACAGTATTCTGCTTTGATGGAAGGTCTGGCAGCTCCCTTTTAAAGAAATGGTTTTCAAATGCCCATGCAAGGCCCATGCGGAAAGACAGGAAGTGAGGGGCTGTAGGGCTCTGCCACCTGCTTCAAATTTCCATGGTGCAGTTCACACCAGATATGCAATTCAGGGTCCTGCAGTACATTCAGTTGGGCAATCTTCACTACACTGGGTGAGCTTTTATCTGATTTCGTCTATTAGAGGCAGGGAAAGATTCAAGTCTGAAATAACTGTTATTATCTTACTGCAGTTTAAGAACCTTGTTTAAAGAGACTTGTTTTCAAGTTCTACTTGAAACCCCAAAGAGAACTAGGAAATAAAACTGATAGGTAAGACTGGTAGGATAAAATCTCTACTCTGCTTTTTTCATAGATGAGACATTTGCGGTTGAGATCAAAATATTTAAAGTCCTTTGGCACAATCCTAATGTGTTCAGAGAGAACTAAGAGTGAGCAGGATTCCTAGAGGAATATCTATGGATGCACTTGAAATAAGCTCAATTGTCCAGAGTGAGCGAGGCCTTTAATTAGCAAAAAGGGCTAGTTAGGGTAGGAGCAAATCCTCTAGCACCTTCTAGCCATGATTACAATGACTGATGTTCAGATCAGTCGTTATAGTTAAAGAAGACCAAAGTCATCTTAGCAAAAGTTCACCCAAAAAAAAGGTTGCAAAAAAAGGTATTTAAAGGTTGGAAGTGATATGTAGTGAAGGCCACATGAAGACTGTTGTCTGTCATATTGTAAACGCTTGATAAATATCTTTATGATTTTCTTTGGAAATACCATGCCTGTAAAATACTTATCTCATTCCCTGTTACTGCCAGATGAACAGCGCATTCACGAACTGGTTTCCTCTTATTGGCTCCATGGGAGCGTTCTCTTTTGGGCTTACCTGGGGACAAAGACTCACAGGGTGTACAGTTGTTCTGTAGTTAAGGATTCCTGCCTCCTGCCAGGGGACTGGGCTAACTGGATTATTTGCAGTTGACAAACTTAGTTTTCCATCCTGAACTTGTTTGTTGCCTCTGCTTTATTCTCAGGACTGGTTCTGGTTTGAGGTGAAAGCATGAAGAGAAAATAGAACAGATAATAATGCTTTTCCGCAATCGCTTCTTGCTGCTGCTGGCCCTGGCTGCACTGCTGGCCTTCCTCAGCCTCAGCATTCAGTTCTGTGAGTACAGTGAGGTTTCATGGGTCCTGGGAAGGGCAGGGGTTTCATTTGGAAATGCAGGGCCCAAGTTTGTAGTAAATACGAAGGCCCTGAAGCCTTTTTTTTAATGAATAATAAGGTTTAAAACAAAACAATGGAATGTTTTTATTATTAGTCTTTGTATTATTTTATAATTATTATTTTATCTTGGTAAGTAGTTGCAAGCAGGAGCCTCAAGCCACTGGGCAATGCTCTTTTGACTGAAGAACTGACAAGAGCTGCTCACAAGCTCTTGTGATTTTTTTTTTTTTTTTTTACTTCTGCATGGATTCCTAAACTACCTGGTTATTCCCAGAATCTTAATTCAGATGCCTAAGGTCCAGACACAGAGCGGCCCAGTGTCACTTCTCTTGTCAAGCCATACAGAGCAAAGGTAGTTGGCCTGTAGTTGGCTCCCTGAAGGTTGAGTGTCCATTGAGTATTCAGAAAGATGTAGGGCTGGAGTTATGTGGAACAGGTTGGGGAGATTTGACCACTGGTGTCAAACTCAGGTGCCTGGGCATGGGAAATCCAGTTGGTGAGGCCAGAGCTCTCTGGTGAATCCAGCTCACACACCTTCCCATCTGGTATCCTATGCTCAGGCCATGCCCCAAATTGGTGCACACCCAAGCTCCCCAACCAGTGACCATCCTCAAGCATAGATCAGCCCCAGCACCTTCTTGGTTGTAGCCTGTGTGTAGCAGCATATGGTCATCTGGAGCTTATTCTGTACAAGAGCAGCCTCTCTCCGTGCCCAGCCCCTGCCGCCCTCTATTGGGAGTGCTGTTCCTCCCCCGCCCTTGCATTTTCTCCTCCATGGACTTCCAAGGGTATGATACTTCCGTAATACACATTAGGATGCCCTGAACCTGTTTCCTTCTTTCACTAACCACGCAGTGTCAACATTTTCCGTTCTTGTGTCATTTCCTTCTACAAGATGGTCCTGATGTTTGAGAGCAGGGCCCATGTCCTGTTTCCCTCTGGGTCCTAGGAACCAACACACAGTAGGTATCTTGTGTATGTTTCCAAGGCAGGCTGGCCCTTACTCCTTCTCCCTCTGTGGCTATGTGCTTGAAGCTGAGAAAATGTCTCAACAATGGGGAGAGTTTTGCTATTTTACCACCTCACCCTGATGGTTGGGAGACAAAGTGTTGGCACCCATTGCTGCCCAGGATAGCTTGGTGTGAAGGTAGCGTTTGAGTGACAGGAAGAACAGGTGGCTCAGTGAGTGGCATGTGGTGAGTGTGCGGGGGGACTGTGGGGAGACTTGGCATCAGGAGTAGTGGTTTGGAAAGTGGAGGCTTTGAGCATTTTGCTGATTTACCTTCAGTGTGACATACTCCCAGGCACACCTCCAGTGCATATGACAGGCTATTTCTAGTAGTAAGGAGGACTAAAAATACTCATTTATCCATCTAGAATTGGAAAAGAAGAGAAGGGTGGTATAAGAAATTTAAACCAGGTGTGTTGGGACACACCTATCATCCTAGCACTCTGGGAGGTGGAAGCAGCAGAATCATAAGAGCTCAGCCTGGAGAATTCAGTGACCCTCTCTCAAAATACAAAATAAAAAAGGGTTGCAAATAGGCCTTGGGTCCAACCCCCAGTGTCTCACACACACACACACACACACACACACACACACACACACACACACACACACACACACACACACACACACACCCCAATGGTTGGTTGGTTTGTTTGTTTATTGTTTGAGACAGGGTCTTACTATGTAGTTGAGACTAACCTGTAACTCACTATGTAGCCCAGGCTGGTCTCCAACTCACAGTGATCCTCCTGCCTCAGCCTCCCTAGTGCTGGGATTACAGGCATGCACCACCGTGCCTGGCTGCACACCAATGTTTAAAATACTCCAGATGGTTAATGAATTGCAAAATGTGAATCTTTTCCAAAAAGTATGCTTTGACTTACAGTAGTTTGTAACTTTCTGTTAAAACTTTTCCATTCCTTGGCCAGAGAGGTCCCATGTACAGTGAACACCAAGCTGGTCTGGAATCACTGACAGGTTCCGAGAGGTGAATGAGGGTTACTTGTGTTCCCTGCATTTCTCTGGCATGAGCCGGTCTCTGTGTCACTGAATGGGCCTGTGTGTCTCGCTTATATAACTCTTCTGAAAGTACCTCTGTTTTAGGAGAGTCAATTTTCAGCCACATTTTTTAAAGGAAAAATTTTTTACAGTAAATTAGCCTGGCTGGATCTAAGTGCTTTATTCTGGGATACACTGGAGTTCTGAAATTAAGAAATGGACATTCTTCCTATTCTTCTACTCTTAGGTAAACTGTAACTTTGGAATATTCATGTTTCTATAGAAATAGAATGTATCTGCTGCTTTACTTAATTGCTTTATTAGTTGCTTGTTATTATAGTGCAAGAAACTGCACTAATTTTTAATACAAAGATTTATGCTTCAATAACACTTATGTTTTCCTTCCTAAAATATATGGACTTTTCTTTATCATTTCTTTTAACTAATTGTTGAATACCAAATTAGCACTTTTACTTTAATGTACTTGAGTTCATCAAATATAACTTAATTTTCTTGTGCTTTAAGTACATTGCATGGTTTTGTTTTCTGACATATTGTATATTTTATTTTGTTTTTGTAGTTTTCTTTTGGTGTTTTGAATGTGAAAAAGTTATGACTTGGGTTTGGATTCAGAAATCAGGTTTTTGTTTTTTTTTTTTAGTTTATTGGTACATTTTAGGTATACAGTACAGTTACATTCATCATTGGGAGAAATCGGGTTGTTTAAATAAGCATTTCTTCCTCTAGGTACAGAAAGTACGTAGTGAACCCACAGGTATTTATTAGATGTTTAACGTGTGTTTGACATTGTGAGGTTAGAGATAGTACAGAAGGGATACAAAAAAGATTAAGACCTGGTTTATAGTTCCTCAAAATATGTCCACCTTAAATGTTACTAATGGCTTACTGTATGCTCAGAGTCCTTAATAGAAAACAAAATCAATTGTTTTGCCTGTTCAAGTCCTGGATATTATTGTTGTTAAAATACATACAAGTAGAAAAATAATTTCTCAAATTGAAGGACTCCCTTTTGCAACAGGAAAAGACTGTTGCTATGTGAAGGCCTATGAATCATTAGTTATATGTCTAATTTTTCTGCTCATCTGTAGTCACCCACTTTCTTGCTGTACCCCGGGGTTTCCTTAATGCTTTTGGGGGTTCATTTCCCCAAGTTCCAACTGGCATTCCCCAAATGGTAGGATGGAACAGGCTCTGGAGTCACAGCCTTGGGTTTGATTGTCAGCCTCTCCACCGAGCAGCCGGGTGCCCTGTTTCTTCTGTAAAACAGCTGATTATTGCTGCTTTGCAAGCTTGTATAAGAACAAAAACTTTGGGGAAAGTCTTTGACTCACTGGAAGCCTCTGTTTCTTTTGTAAGAGTTAGTCATTGTTACTTTGCAAGGTTAGTGTGAGAAGTGAGACTTGTTAAAACCCTTGGCTTATAGAGGCGTAGCCAACAGTCTTAAGCAAACCAGACAGATTCTAGTCATAATGTACCATCATCAGAAACCAGGGTCCTTTGGGTTTCCATACAGCTGTCAGCACTTCAGCCATTTGGTGGGGGGGGTAGCTTTTGAACCATATCCACTTATTTGTTTTTAATCTGAGTGCATTGGCTGTAAGGAGCACACAGCATCTATATTTGGGATCACCTCTTGGGCAGGGCCCCAAGTGAACTGAGCAGATTAAAGGTGGATGGGACATTCACATTCCCAGGGTTATCTTTAACAACTGAAGAGCCCTTCTTAGAAGGATTCAGACCTGTTGTGTATGGCCCACATAAACAGAGAATAATTTCTGGTAAACAGCGATGAGACTTACTGAAAGTCAGTGCCATCCTGAGGGAGAGGGGGTTCCCATTTCTCTATCACTGGAGTCCACAGCCTCCAGATGAGTACAGTGTTAGGCAGTTCATTGGGCCTGATCTCAATTAAAGTCTCTTCAAACTCTGAGTTTGTATGAATTTTATCCTTCTCTATTAATGAAGTGCTGTGAGCATGTAAAGTTCACTTCTTTAGCAAATGAAGCTGGGCTAGGAGTTTAATCCCTCAGGGGCCACAGGGAGCGCTCCATCTGGTGGAGGATAGTCAGGAACGGACTCTTGGAATACAGAGTACAGGGCATCAGATAGGTCTGAGGCACGGTGGGATGGGAAAGACCATGGACTCGGGAGCCAGCCGGCCATGATCCTATCCCTGTCCTGACACTTACTAGCTGTTATCCCCCCACCCCATGCCTTAGTTTCTTGCTCTGTAAAGTGGAGTTGGTAACTGTTTCTCCCTTGTAGAGATGCAAGGATTCAGTGAGCTAGTGTCTGCCAAATGCCTGGCACATAGTAATCATGACTCCTGTTTGTTTAAATCAAATGAGTTGGAGGTCATTTATGGCAGGGTGTTTTGGGAAGATGGAAGACAAGAACCCAGACCAGTCCGGGGTGCCAGGTGACATCCAGGCTCATCCTTGAAAAAGACTGGGAATTGGCTGAGGAGAACGTTAGGGAAGATGAGATAGGCATGCAATGGCACCTCGTGAGAGGACAGAACCAGGTCAGTCACCTTTATATAGTTTTGAAGTTGAACCGAAGGCTGGGGTCTGCCTGCTCTCCTCACCCCTTTCTATCCTGAAGGGAAGCCACCATCCATTTGGGTCTTGGAAAGAAGCCATTCCATGTTTTCCACAGTGTGGGCCCTGAGGACCTGGATCAGAACCACCTGGGGAACTTGTTTAAAATGTCTGTGCCCACACTGAGAAAGAACAGTTTGTGCCCCTCCCTGAAGAATCAGAATCTGGGTGGGAGTGGACCCTAGAAATCTGCATCGTGAGCAAGCTTCCTGGGTGTGTCTCCTGCTCCGAGTCTGTGAACTTCCATCCGGAGATGGTGGGAGGTGCTGCTGTGCGGTGAGGCAGCTCAGAGGCGGTTTTGCTCTTGCAGC